AATTGAGCTGAGCATCTGGGTAATAAAAACTGGGTTCCTTTTCATGGATAACCATCACTGGGAAAAGTTTAAGGGGTATATGAGCACCCACAGAGGCACTTACTAAATATTTAACAAGCATTGATTAGAAAGCAGGCACAACACAATGTATACAGTTTGCTCTGCATACTTGAAGTCTCAGCCCTGTTTTTAGAAATAACCTGACCATATCTTACATAAAAAATTCACTCTGGTTAAATCTGACCATTATCTAGAGGTAGGGTGATGTTATCTTTACAGAAGCCACCAGAAATTATTCAGCGACAGTCCAATTTTGAGGTCAAGCTCAAACAACATCCTAAAGTTAGTTATATGCTACAAATTTCCCCCCATTTTTAATATTTTTAAAGCTTTTCTTTCTTTAAAAACAACACAGACGGGGTTTCACTCTGTCACCTAGGCTGAAGGGCAATGGTGCAATCATGGCTCACTGCAACCTCAAAGTCTTAGACTCAAGTGATCTTTCCTCCTCAGCCTCCCAAGTAGCTATGGTTACAGGCAGGTACCATGTTGCCTCGTTTTCCCCACATTTTTATTGTATCCTTCCTTCCTTTTCTCATAAAGTGGAGAATATCTGCAAAATAATTTACCCAATCCACATTATCTTGAATACTCCCAAGTTTCACAAATGGCAGCTCATTTCCGGCGTCATTATGCTAATTAACATGCTTCCCCTTTCATCAGGCAGCCCATTTCTAACCATTATTATGTTAATTGAGATACAATAGCTTTAAGTACTTGTACAAACCTCTGGCCTTTCTCATTAAATGCTAGCTGACCTCCTGTGGGGTGTGAAATTCTGATTAGGGCAGCCAGTGTTCCTGAAAAGTAGCTTAACCCATTATACATACATTTAACATCACAAGGTCTACACTGAAAACATTGTAAAGTACAGACTTCACAACAGAAGACTGAAAAGAACAGTTTGAGGAATATAAATGATGTGCCTATTAAAGGACTATATTTGGGATATTTGTTGGCAAATATTTAGTATTACAAATTCCACATTTCAACATAAATCAAAGTACTTCACATTTTAGTATTTATGAAGATTCTCCCTTCCGCCCCCCATTGTTAAAAGAGGCTACTTGAGGGACAAAAGAGTACATATTGGGTCCAGTGTATACTGCTCAGGTGACAGGTGCACTAAAATCTCAGTAAATCTCACTATAGAATTCATTCATGTAACCAAAACCATTTGTACTCCAAAAACTATTACTATTAAAATAGTAATAAAAAAGAGGCTGCTAATGCAAAAGGATTCCAGGTTCTTATCACAGAAGGAGGAAATAACTGGTTTATGTTGGAAATTCTATGGAAATTCCAATTCCCACCTAAGTTATCTAGTTTCCTTTGTGCTATGTAGGAAACGTTAAAAATAACTAGATCTGAAAAGTGTCTTCAGTCAAAGTTAAACTCTGATATGTGGAATCAGAAGTCCTTGGTTCACATTTCACCTTTACCACTTCCTAGTTATCACTCAGCCCTTTGGAGCCTCGTTTTCCTCTTCTTTGCAGTGGGAGGATTATATCAGTGTTCTCCAAAGGGTGATAATTAGGTCTCTAGTGCTAAGGGAGTGCCACTGTGCCCTGGATTTGGGGTGGGAGGGAAGCTGTCTCTGGTCAAATTCTGTGGGATACACTGTAAACTAAGTGAAATGCTTTGCTTATTTCATTTTTCTTCAAGGTCACTAAAATACTAATTGACATGACCTCCTAGAGCATGGGATAAACATAGCATATGTTTTATTTCCAGAAAGATTAGGGTATGTGAGGCCTTCCTCCCAGGGAATTCTAAGAGACTTTTCAAAAATTATGTTTATATATGTACACACACACACACACACACACACACACGTAGAGAGAGCACGACAGAGAGAGAGAGTCCCAGAGTCTCACTCTGTCACCCAGGCTGGAGTGGGTGATCTCAGCTCACTGCAACCTCCACCTCCCGGGTTCAAGCAATTCTCCTGCCTCAGCCTCCCAAGTAGCTGAGATTGCAGGCATGCACCACTATGCCCAGCTAATTTTTGTATTTTAAGTAGAGATGGGTTTTCACCATGTTAGCCAGGCTAATCTTGAACTCCTGGGCTCAAGTGATCTGCCCGTGTTGGCCTCCAAAGTGCTGGGGTTACAGGCATGAGCCACTGTGCCTGGCATCCAAGATTTTTAAAAATTAAATTATGAAATAAGTCTAACAAATTTTCATGTATATGTTATAATCTGGATACCTGTGCAAAAGTTTACATTCAAGAACAATTTTTAAAAATATTCATGCCCTTCTTTGTGGGTGCCCTAACCACTTCTTTAGTTTACCTGTGAGTAATCCAGTAGTGGGAATACAATGTGACATTTTTACATACCCCGGATCACAGAATCCCACTTTTTACATAGCATTACATGAAGCTAGTCTGTCAGGAATTATTCTGGAAAACACGGCTTCATTTGGCTCTAAGACTTCCTCCTGCTCAAAAAAACTGGATTTCTAAAATTATGGTTTGTTACCCTCCAATCTATTCACTTTTTTTTTTTTTTGAGGGAGGAGGAATGATGAGAGGATTAAAAACCACACTATTTTTAAATTCAGTGAAATTCCTACTTTAACACATTTTAAGGTCTATCTAAGGTCTTCTAAAGTCTATCACTGTGACCTTAGAAGACCTTCATCTCAACCTTGATATTGCAAGTTCTTTCTATTCTTCAAATCTTCTCTGGCTAACGGAACTGCCATGAATACCAAATTTCTATACATTGTCAGTATATTAATGATGAGCAAATTATGTCCTTTAAGCTTGTGAGTAATACATTCTACATATTAATATATTGTGAGTAATGATACACTGTATGTGCACCATGTTTTACAGTTTGCAAATGATTTCCATACTCATTATTTCTTCACATTAATTCCTGTTTTCAAGTTGTAACCCACTGTATTTCTAAAATGTCCAGCTTAAAATGTTCTTGTTGCCCATGATCCTAGCCTAAAAAATTTAGAACCCTTCTTTTTTTAGGAATATCAGTGCAATCCATAATTATGATGTAACTCTGCACACGCACATCTATTCCAGGACAGAGGAGCGGGGCAGGAGTGAATTCAGGGCTATTAAATGGCAACATCCTTTTTCCTTCGGACTTCAGCTAGCAAACAAGAACTTGCAAAATACAACCATCTATTTGCCATCATTGATTTTCATGTGGCAGTGGGGCCACTTTAGGACCAAGCAAATTATGGGAGATGGCTATTGGAAACATTTGTGTACAGTTATAAAATCTAAAGTAGTTTCAGCCTAGCTCATAAATATCAATTCTTTTGAGACAAGTGAATATCAAGTACTTGAGCTTGATGGGTCAGGTATTCTAGGCACTGTAGTCCACTGAGTAAGACATCATTCTCTTTAGCAGCTGCTAAAGAGATTCATGGTGTTTTAGGCATTTTCGTTTCAGTACGCGTAATACCGGAATGGAAGATGGGAGTGGGAACAAAGAACAGACTCTCCCCAACCACAAACACACACACACACAACTATATAACCAAGAAAAAAAAGTTTTGTTCTCATAGTAATACAGATTTTTAGAAATAAATGAAGTCTATAGTTTGCAAAGCTAGAGATAGTTAAAATATAAACCATGGTTCCCATGACTACCGCTAATAAAATTTTTCTTATTGTTGCTACCATAAGAAACTTGTAATCGCTTTACTTCTTAGAAGAGACCTCACTTTCTCATATAACACAGAAAAAAAACCATATTTCTAGGGACTAAACTATTGATAAAAATTGAATATTTGATCTATCAACTAGTAGCTTTCCTCACATGATTTTAGGAAGAAATCAATCAGGTTCGTAATAGCCATAGCTAGCTCATATTATGGCTTTTTGCAAATTAGGAAAAGAAGTCCTTTCTGGGCCATCTCAGGCTTAACGATACAGAGTTTAAAGCACTGCTGAAGGTTTTTTGAGAATTGGGGTGACAGCTCTGCTCCGGGGTACATGCCTTGGGGAGCAGATGATGGGCTGAAATTTAGTCCCTACTCCCTCAGCCATGCATCTTGCATAGTGAACAGTCTGTAAAACTGTACATAGTAACACTCAGCCATATTTAGTAAATTAAGCAACTGTGCATCAGAAGAACTTGCATAACTTTTTGCTGTTACCTGATACCCTGAGTGAAGAGGCCTTCCTCTAAATGTGGACTTACAGATAATATAAAGGTACTTCTTTCTACGGCACAACTCTGAAGTTATTTAACAAACTTCTAATCTGTGGGCAAAAGAGCTCACAGTAAAGTCAACCTGCTGGAAGCTTCACCCTGCAACATAGAAGGGGCAGTAGCAGAAGTCTTTATTTGAACTGAGCTAAGCAAAGTGGCATATAGTGAAATGATATTTTCCTAAACACCTATTGTGTATATACCACTCTGCCTAAAGAGTAAAAGTAGAAGTCTAGTTCTTGCTCTCACAAACTTGTAATCCTGACAGGGCAAATCAACAAGAGGAGGAGGGGAAGAGGAAAAGAGAATAAAACTGCATCGGCTTCTTAACTGTCTCACTTATATCCTCAGGCAATAAGCCTTACATAAATGTACGTAATGAATACCATGAGATAACATACAACCCAGTTATTTTGGGTACATAGTAAAGAATCTCATGTATGTTGCTGGAATTAGTGATGATTCCTAGTTTCGAAGGAACAGAATTACTCAAAGGATCTGTAAGGAGCTACAACATAAGATATTAACCTTGATTTTTAATGTAAACAAACTCTCTGACCCAAATCTGTATTTAAGTGAAAGTGGCAGAATTTGACAATCTCATAGATTCAGTATGATTTTATAATTGCGTTCATGACTATGTTATATTGAAAGCTTGGTATCTTTTAAAGATAACTCATTGGAAAAGGGCACAGAAGGTGATTTCAAAGTTACTTTAATTTAATGACTACTCTTATTCAATTGTTTTCACAGACCATAAACAGGACTGAAGAATGTCCGTCTGAATCTTTGCCTTGAATGAAGAAACTTCATTGAACAAGAAGTTGGCTTCCAGTTTGCACAGACGTCAATGGAATGCATTTTTTTTTTTCAGTTTTATACTTTACCCAATGAAAACAAAGTTTTTATGTGCTGTGCAAATGGTCTTCATGTGGTCTGACAATTTTTTTTGCCATCTTTTTTTTAATTAAAGAAAAATTTTCCAGAAGAGGAAAAAAAAAAAAAAAAACTACAAAGCAAAATATCGAAGGTTGATATTTTATCTGGAAGGACATTTGAATTGAATTCAAAATTTTCCTGAAGGTGTAGATACATTTTTTTTTAAAAAAACAGAAAACCTGATGTCAAGAGGTGGGCAATAGAAATGGAAACAAATTGTCTTCCTCAATAATTAAGCTACTTTCTCTTTTTCCCTTCTTGTTTAAATCTAGTGGGTTTTTTTTATTTTATTTTTTCTTAGAAATATTTAGGTAAGGTTTATCTTGAATCTTAATTGCCTTAATTTTAAGGACGTCAAAGGCTCTCGAGGCAAGCTGTCAACGTCTTGTTAAAATCAAAAATCAAGAAAGAATTGAAATATTGTGCCGGCTTTAACTGGTACAGAAGTTTAAGACTGAGTTTTTAGGGTGAAAAAAAACTGTACAGTTTAAATGAAAATGTTTTTCTTCATTTGAAGAAAATTTGTTGATAAAGAAACCATGGCAACTGCAAGAATTGGAAAAATGCTGGGACTTTTCATGAACTTTGTCTTAAGTGTTGACATGACTCATTCTAAAAGGCTAAAACATTTTACAGTAAAGTTATTAATGTTGGTTTAAAAACAACTGCATTAGAAATAATGCGTGTTTGGGGGCAGAATGCAGATTTTTTTAATTTACAAAGCGTGATCGCTAGCAAAAGCATTAGTGCTTTTTATCTGCAGTCTTTTTTATGAGCTTTACAAACTTTTTAGTCAGCTTTGCTTGTCACATTGCAAAACCTAGCTTAAGAGCATTAAAAAAAACTTAAGTAGATAGGAGCTTATGGTCAAAAAGTGCAAAAAAAACAAAAAAAAGCAATAGATAGAGAAATTGTTGACAATTTCTGTAGTCTTTCCTAGTTGTGATCAAATTCAGCCTATGGATGGCCTATTTTATACCAAAGATGAAGTGACACCCTATTACAGTCCAGAAGATAGAGGTTGTTTTTCTTTTTTTTTTTTTTTTAAAAAAAAAAAAAAATTTATTTGACCGACATGGCCGGACCAGTTCTTACTTTGTTGTTTGTTTAAACTACCTTCCACTGGTGTTTTACATACTGCAAAAAAAGAGGGTGGGGGGAGTTGTCTTTCTTTTGTTTAAATATATATTCATTGATAGCAGAAGCTTGCACCTGTGTGTTTAACAGTTTCAGCACGAAGAGTTCTGGATATCAGCTGATAGAGTCAAAAGACTTTAAATTCTGTGAGCTTTCCTGGTTTCTCACTGGCCGTCTGGAATAGTGAAACCTTTATTGATGGCCACTAGTAAACTAAGATGCTTATTTAACAGGTTGAATATTCTTTATATGAATTTTCAGCTAACAACACTTTCTGAACCCAGTCTGAAAGGTCACTTGTCAAAAAAGCTTAGTGATTTTTTGTGAAATGTTGAGTGGTCTCCTGGAAAGGTCTCACTATATTTGTGACAATAGTCTTCCCTCTAAATTACGACACTTCTGGGTTTTGTCTTCTCACCTCTGTCTTTGTCATCACCTACCAAGAATAGTCACCTTGGTTTTGCAAATGGGGAGGGGGTATCTTCTTTTTGTCTCTTTCCATTGTATTTTCATATCTTGGTGTTGTCAAAAAAAACTTTTTCTTTCAGATTAATTCTTTGAGGCATGTAAGACCTCTCAATAAGATTGAGAATTCTATTAGTGGAATTTAGGGAAGTTATTAAAATGCTAGTTGACAATCAAGAAACTGTATGATTTAGATCAATCAGAACCAAAAGAATTAGGTTTGATCAATCATTTAAGCCAAAGGAGGGATACTTGCATTTAGAATGATGCAAAACTTTGTCTAAAATGAATTAAATTGACTTACTTATAAAATATATCTACATTTTTGATTCATGAAATAATATGTGTTCAACCTGTAGTTTTATCTCAAATTAAGGACAATGCAATAGAATTTTGTTAAGTGAACTATTCACTAGATTGCTTTCTGAATGAATCCTTTGAATCAAATAGGTAAAAGTCTTTTCACAAACTCAGTCAGTAACAGGAGCCTGTCTTAGCCCACAAAAAAGAGGAAAATGTATTTAAATATACTATAAAACAGGGTAGGCTTTTAAAAACTAAAAAGTTTTAAAGGTAAATCACATTCCCATTAGGTCAACATGAGTAATAAGGCTGACTCAATATGAAACTGTCAATATTCCACTATTTATGTAGACTCTGGTTCTCTTACTTGCAACCCCATGAATTGGAAGCTCAAATCAGAGAATGACTCCATATATTTATGGTCACATTGGAGACAAACGTGTATCCAAGAAAATGTGTGTGTTACAGAGAAATTCCAACTGGTCACACTCACTATTATAGTTTTTCATGCTTTGGAGAAAATGCTAGATTTATATTGTCTTTTGTTCCATCCTTCAACTTCCCATGCATTGTAAAGGTGGCACGTAAGTTTTTATCTTTAAAAAAATGGGCCCCAAAGATTTTGGGGGGTACAAAAAACGTGTATGGGAACCATATTTTCTGTTTTTCTTTTTCACTCTCTAAACTCTTTGTATAAACAAGGATTGTCCTGGACATAATTCATTTGAATATGAAACCAACATACTTTCTTTCATTTCTGTGAAAAAAGTCAAAAACATGTATTAATGTGATACAAAGAAAGTCTCATTTACACAATCAACAATGAGGCTAAGAGGTAGCTACCACGTGGCTGATGAACGTGCCTAGGTAACTTCCTGTTTCTATTCAAAACTGCTGCTTTATTTGTACATTCAAAAATATTTTATTTCAACTCTGAAACTTCAATAATCTCAATTTTTAAGCCACTTTCTGCAAAAGGAAATTACCTGCCATTTTATGTGTCCATGTGCGTTTTGTGTTTGGATAGTTTATATCATGCCATTCTATAACATATATGTTTTCAAACCAAAAAAAGAAAAAAAAAAGTGTCTGTTGTCTTACCTAAGACTTGTTTTGAAAAGCCAAGTTTGGGAGAGAAAAAAGCATCAGCAGGTAAGCAGCATTACATTGTGTGATAATAAACCAAAGTAAGTGTTTAATATATACGGACAGCAGAATTCAAATTTAATCAACAAAATATGCTGTAGTGATTTTAAACCTGATTAAAACTATAATTTTTTTTGAAGTTGAAGTTAAGTTTCTATGGATTCTGGTCCACCAGATTTTCAAGCATTTATTCAGATGTTTCCATTTTTCCTTTTGACTTGAATTGCCAAGACTTAGCCTAAACATCGGGAAACAAACTAAAGCCACAATCCAAATGAGAGAAACACAGTCTCATCTAAACTCTAGTTTCATGGTCAGTGAAAGAGTAAGTTTTCTTTTAATAATGATAAAAGTGTCGCCAAGGGAGTCCAAGTGTGCATGGTAACTGGGAACTCCCCAATATGTGGCCATGTCCTCTGAAGACAACGTAATGAACCCAAGTGAACTGAGGATAATACTGGCAGGTGCTGATGGCCATTGTCCTTGAATGCTGACATATCTTGAATATTGCGACTGTCATAATACTCTTTTAAAAAAAATCCTCTACCTGACTCTAGTTTTGCCAGGATTAGTTTGCTTCCTTGGTAGATTTCAGTATTTCAGAATGTTACCTCCATATTTCACTTGAGTTACTTCTTCCTGTGACCTTAGCAGATCTGTCACATTTGAAAGCATATGACTCACTTCCATCCCCTTCCAATGAAAAACTACATGGTGTTAAAAGACTCCCATTAGAGATAAAAGACTGAGAACTGAAGAACACTGTGTAAAGCAGGAAGTCCACTTTATTTTACTATACCTAAGAATATATCTTTGGACCCCTTGCGAAGTGCTTCAAAACTACTTTCAATTTATGTATGCCCCAAAAAAGCAATTAGTGTCCCCCCCCCCCAAAAAAAACCCTCTTTATTTAAATAATTGGGATATTTGCTAAATGCCTATTTTTTTTATAGTGGCCTAAAAACCCCTATTAATGAAAAGTGAAATTTGATGTAATTAGGACTCTTGCAATCATCTTCACGATTTGAGGAGAAGTTTCAATAGGCTGTCTAGACAGATTATGATGTTAATAGGAGATTAAAATACATTTGGCAATTCATTTTCATTCTTAATTTCAGTGCATGAACCACTGCAGATGAGCTGATAAGCAGAGAGAGATTCTCAAGTGGGTTTCAGTAATAAATGTTTTTTATATGATTTGAAATCAAGTAAAGGGACAATATTTATGTACGTGTATAACAACATTCAGCACATTTGAGGATTCACGCGCTATAATAAAGTTTAAACATGTCATAGCACCTTGATCTATATTACTTTCTCTTCAGTAAAAAATAAAGGATGAGATAGTGTCTTCCACGTGATTACAGCTGGCATGCTTCAAAATTTTGAGCTCACTGGGACTGACAGCCTCTCCCTTCAATCTGAGGGATTGACAGAATTTAAACAGGCTCATTGATTCTGTACACTGTACCCTTTCTGTGGCACGTGATCATGGGATTTCATTAATGAATCAATTTGTTTTACAAATGACATCCACTGTGGCATTGGAAGACAGCTGGGTCTGACTCAAGTTTAACATTTCTTTGCAAACATTCCTAAGTATGAAATTGGTCCTTTCATCCAAATGTTCTTGGCCATGGCTGTCCTTTGCGGATTACATAGACTTCAGGAAAGTATAAAGAACTAAACACGAAATCCCGAAGTGGCCCCAAAGACCTTTTATGATGTGGGAGACAGGAGTTCACCCCAGATTAATTTCTTTTATCTTTGGCTTTATACTGTAACATATAGATGCTCTCTGTAGCAAAACAAAAGGGATGAATGGCTTTCAATATGCATTTCTGTTTATTTTTGTGAGGGAAAATAATAAGAAAAATTTCTTCCACTCTGAAAGCTTTAGGGCTGAAGTAGAGGTGTAGTAAGCTTGGATCTGCAGGAAGAACCACTAGGCCACTGAGTCACACTTGAGCTTGTCTTACTACTGCCCCAGTTTGAGTTGTGCATAAATACAATCACTCTTAAATTTTTGAAGGGCTAATTATCTGCTTTGTTGATGTGTTTTGTCTTTTCTTTTTAGCTTGTAGGCCTTGGGCTCAGTTTTTTATTTTTCTTTTTATTAGCATGTCACCCTGAGGGTGGGAAAAGAAACAATGGGAAATAAAATTTGATTATTTCTTATCAAGTATTAATTTCTTAAGGGAGTTTGAAATCATTGGTAAAATTAATGTCCAGACATTATATGCCATAAATTTTGATTATCAGTAATATGTTTTCCTGTCTACCACAAACAATTGAGAGTTAGCTGTATTCTTGCAGAATATACAGAAAAATATTATGGAGAATTTGGCTTCCCTCAGAAGAAAGCTATTTTCGTTCTCTTCACTCCACTAAATTCAAACCAGTAGAACGGATCAACACAACTTCTGCAATGAGAGTATAACAGTAGCTCATGGTTCAGTCCTATTCCTACTTTTAAATCTTTGACCAAAACTAATGCATTGCTTTTGTTATATTTTGACTTTGCATTACTATATTAAGGCTGAATGACTCTGACACTCCGGTGGATATTTTTATGATCACATCAAATTTAAATAATGTCCAAAGTATAACTTTAACGTTATACGTTGTTTCAAACTCTCTGGTCTAAGGTTACTGAGAAAGATGTGCTTTCCTCCCCCCCAAATATGTTATCTCTTCATATGTTAAAAAAATGAGTTATTCCATGCTTTTCAAGAACTGTAAAAATTGTTTCAAAGAGACACTTGAAAAAGTTTTCTCGATTCTGGACACAAATGCTTCCATTTATTTAAAAAGAATAAAATTGGAATCTTAATTTAAAATATATATATGTAGTAGTATATGCTATGAGATACTCAGTTTCTTAAAAAAAAAAAATGGGACACAGCTTCTTTTAAAACCCTTGTTTCAGTCCATATTCAACTTCATGGAACTTCTGAAACATCATTCAATTTTGAACTTTATTTAAGAGGTTTTTGGACTGCTGTCTCTGTCATGGAAAGTTCTGTAATTCAAAGGTGTTTCTGGTTTTATTTTTAATTTCTTCATCTGTACCACAGTCAAATGAGCAACCATCTCCCCCATCCCTTGGGCTCTCTGTAGATCAGTGGATGTTAGGTTTAAACTTCTGTTTTCTTTGATGAAGCTTTCAATAAAAAATGAAAATAAAATCAATCCAGTAGGGCTGTTGTGTTTTTCTGCACTCATCCAGAAACTGGTTGGGGGAGGAGGGCTGATAGGAAGGAGTGGTGTCCACATTTAATCTGGAACAATGCTAGAATTTTTAAAAGAATCATCTCGGCTAACAAAAAATGAGAAAAGAGCTAACATTCTATACATGCCAAGGGGACCTGAGAAAGCCACTCTTTGGGGGATGTTAGAAAGAGAAGACCATTTAGGTCTTCCCAGAGACTCCCACAATCTTCCGTGTTCTCATGCTTAGGGATTTGGAGACCACAGAACTTCTATCTCCAAACATGCCTAACATCTACCAACTACTTGATGAACCTTGGATGAAGGCCAGGAGGCTCAGAGTTATATACAACAATAAAGACATTTGTTTGGACACCTATGGTCTGTATCCCTGCAAGGATTAAACTCCAGGTCAACAAAAATCAGAAGTGTCCATTCCTCAAGCTACAGAAGACTGCGCTAAGCAAATAAGCAGAAACTCTGTTTTTCTGGGCCAGGGTCATTCAAGCTAGCTTAGAGCTCATATTTAAAAGCCAATAATATCCTGTTCTGTAATAGTCATTTGCTGTGTTCTTCAAAAATGTTCTACTATAGAAGACAGGAAAACAAATGGGAGACACGAAGTTCCTACGATGTGTTAAAAAAAAACAAAGTGACCCTTAAGACGGAAAAACTAAGTAGAGCATGTGAGTGTAAACAAAAATAGAAAGGGAAAGAAAGACCGGGAAAACACTAGGTGATGCACTAGATAGGGATGAGAAAAGCATTCACTACTCATTCTGTCTTAATTTGCTCACTCTGTTGACTTCCATGCTGGCACCCACAGCAGCTCATCAACCTAACTGGTGAATTTCAGTGGTTTGCCCCCGCTTGTCTTGGAGGGAGTAAGCATGCTGCATGGGCTCCCGCTCTCGGTTGCCCCCTTGCTCAAACCTCAACTCTGGTGCTTATAACACATCATCACTGGACAAGGACGATGTGGCCGAGGGAAAAGGAGTATATATACCCACATTGCAGAACATTCAGCTAGTATGATCCTTGCATACCTCTTGCACTTTACCCTCAATGAGTCAACCTACCCCATGACTTTCACCTTGTTTTCTGTGGATTTTAAATTGATTTAATAAGCCCTGTGCTTCTAGCAACTTTATTAGTCTGTGAGCCTTTCTGTTCTGTGACTTCTTAGTGAACAGAATAGTGTATTTGGAAGCTACTCTCATCAAGGTGATTTCCTCCACGGCATCTATTTGTTTTAGAATTATATGCACCCAGGAGAGGGTGTGGAGAAAGCTCTCCACCCAGAGCCCAGGCTCTAAGAATACGTTGCGTATACACCTTTTCCCTCTCTGAATATCAGTTCACATTGCAGTGGCAGAAGAGAAAACTAGGGGCAAAAACTAGAAGAATGGATTTATTGGCGAGTTTAAGAAAATAAGCATGGAACAAAGATCCTGAACTTAGTTTTACTCACTGCCTTATTTCTATTTGTGTTGTTAAAACAAAATGCCTTGGATTGGTTAATTTATAAACAACAAAATTTATTACTCAGAGTTTTGGAAGCTGGAAAGTCCACGATCAAGGCACCAGCAGTTTTGGTGTCTTGAGAGCCTATTCCTCATAGATTGCACTTTCTATGTATCTTCACAAGGCTGAAGTGACAAAGAGTTCTCACAGGCCTTTTTCATAAGGGCACTAATTCATTTACGAGGGCACAGCCCTCATAACCTGATCATGTCAAAAAGGCCCCACTTCTTAATACCACCACCTTAGCGGTATTTCAACATATGCATTTTCAGGAGACAAACACGCAGAGCACCACACCCACGCACACCCACGTTCTATCAAAACTCTTCTACAGCAGAAATTCTTTATTTGTTTAGGATTAAAAAATAATAGTACTGCGCCACCACCCAGTATATACAAAAATTTTGCTTCATATTACAGACATTTTGGAAACTCCTAAAATGTACCTATAGGTTTCCGATGAAGAATCCTTGGTTACAAGGTATGAACACGGGAGAAGGAAGACTATGGAATGAGGAAACAAACCACGTTTACGATGATGACCCTCGTATATAAAATAATCATGATTTTCTGACCTCATATCTATGTATTTTTTACTGTTTAATAATTTATTTTCTCCAAGAAGAACTGAGTGCATTGTCAATTCTCAATGTTTCCAACAAGTTTATGTTCCATTTTACCTTTTTTAAGTAACGCTGATAACATTTAGCTGCTTTCCAAAGGCAGTAAGGTGAAAATCAGTATAGCTCAAACTTCATCTCTGATAATTTCATCATTTCTGGATTTTTTACGGAGTGACATTTACAAGAATGATAAAAATCTCTCTAATATATCAAAAGACTGTATTTTTATTTAAATCTTTAGAAACAAAGGAAGACAGCTTTGTCCTCCATGATCTTTAAGACGTTGTTAGGTTATTACTGTGGTAAAACGGTCACCAGGTGGCGCTGCTGTATCAGCCTCCAGTGGATTCTAAATCCAAATCCCAGATTCTCTATTCCTACACAGAACCAGTAATGTGAGATAAGGCTGTAAGAGAAAGCATCCCCATTAACTGGGCACTCACTCTGTGCCAGGAGCTGCACCAAGTGCCCTCACATACTTGGGTTCATACAACTTTCACAAGAGTGCTCTGAGGTAGGGGTTGGAAAATTGTCCCCATTTCCCAGATGAGGCTTGGAGAGCTGGGCATCCTACCCATGGACCTACGCTTAGGAAGGGCTAGAGAGTGCTTCAAAAACAGATCCAAGTTCTCAATCCCTGCCTTCAAACATTTCTTCTGAAATGATTTTGGGAAATGCCAATGGGGAAGGCACTTGTTTGTATGTCTGTTTGCTTGGTTGTTTTTAATCAGAGGATATTTTTTTTTTTTTTTTTTTTTTTTTTGAGACGGAGTTTCACTCTTGCTACCCAGGCTGGAGTGCAATGGCGCGATCTTGGCTCACCGCAACCTCCGCCTCCTAGGTTCAGGCAATTCTCCTGCCTCAGCCTCCTGAGTAGCTGGGATTACAGGCACGCGCCACCATGCCCAGCTAATTTTTTGTAGTTTTAGTAGAGATGGGGTTTCACCATGTTGACCAGGATGGTCTCGATCTCTTGACCTCGTGATCCACCCGCCTCGGCCTCCCAAAGTGCTGGGATTACAGGCGTGAGCCACCGCGCCCGGCATCAGAGGATATTTTTTAAAATAGTTTGCCACACTTGGCCTGGGATTTGTAATTTCTGTAGAAAAGGGACATTGGACACTCATTCTAATCACCTTAGTGACAAAACTCCATACAATTCCCATTTTCTCTTCCAGAAATAACTTGCTGTTTTAATCATCTCTGTATTTGAGCCTGTCTGATTTATTCTGGAAGCAAAGTATGGTCTACCAAGTAGATAGGCTTAACTTTTCATTGACTCATTCAGTTAACAGTTCCTAGCATATGGACCCTCCATAAATAATTTGATGATACCAAAAGAGAGACATTATTCTTGTTTGCAAGGTATCATATTCTAATAAGTACCAGTTTATGACATTTTGGCAGGAAATAAGATCAGAGTTTTGCGGGAGATATGTTTAACCCTTGCTGCTGTTTAATCCCTAGTTCAGCTCCTCAACAGAGTGTCTGTTATCTTTTACCCAAGTGATCTGGGACATTTAATTCTGCTGACACCAAGGAGAATAGAATATGCCATTCTAAGATGGACTTAACTTTTCAAGGTTAAAGGACTTGAGCACATTTTCACGGTACAGACAAGATCCAAACATAGGATCTGCTAGTTACAAAAGCCAACGATTTTCCTCCTAATAGTGCTGAATCTACTCATATGGTTTAAAGGAATGAATTGTTTGCCCAAAATAACTTTTCTATTACCTGGCATTTCACCATTATAATTTATTCTTAGAGATAGATAACAAAATTTTGGAAAAAGTACCAGGTAAGCAGTGGAAAGAGCATGGATTTTGAGTTTAGATATACTATCTACAAAACATTTTTTCTTTCTGATTGTCATTTTTTTGTTGTTTCAAAATGCATACCTATTATTTCTCAGGATGATTATAAGGATAAAACAGGCAATACATATATCCCGTGTAAATGCTCTAAAAATTATAAAGTCAATCAAATGTTATGCATAATTTTAGCTGTTTAGTTCTGAAGTTTCTCTTTAAAGATGTTCTTGTGAGAATAACTCACAAGATTATAAGACAAGGTTAATATCTAAGAAGATGAAAGGAGGCAATGGTACAACCAAGGGAACACTTGTCTACTTTGCAATGCTGCTCAGATTCTGTAGGGCACAAATTCCAAGCTTGAAACCACCAGGTTCCAGGCCACAAGAACAAGAGAACACAGAAACGTAGCTGCTCGTTGAGCTAAATTCACCCATGATTTTGAATGATAATCCTGTATCATCATCCAATCACCAGACACACTCTACCTTCTTGGGACTTCCTATATAATGGCATATAATCTAATGACAGGTACTGATGGAAGGGGACAGATGTTATTAATTTGAGAAGACTACTATACAATGTGATCTGCAAACAGGATTGAAGAACTAGGGGCAGAATCTTCTTTAGACCTTGA